GGGGTGAGAAAGAGAAATAAGGGGGGGTGAGAAAGAGAAATAAGGGGGGGTGAGAAAGAGAAATTGGGAGGAGGAGAAGGAAATTGGAGCGGGAGGAGAGATTGACATTCATCACATACACACAATGCACCCCTTGCACACAGAAAACACACATACACAAGCAATGCAACCGTTACACACAATGCATCCCTTACACACACAGAAACACACAATGCATTCATTACACACACTCAATGCACCCCTTACACACATTCAATGCATCCCATACATACACAGAAACACACCTTGCAGCCCTTACACATACAAACACAATTTCACACAATGCATTCCTTACACACATATCAGGACATCCCCTACACACTCCACCCCCTGTGAACAAACTCATTGGTGGAACATGAAGGTGGACCCTGGGACCCAGACCTTGAGCTGTGTAAAGGACCCCCAAAAAATGCAGCTGCTTCCCGTTCTCCCAGAATATTGATTTTTGTGACCACAGTTACAAACCGCCTCCAGAGAAAGAGAGGACAGGATCCGCCCCGGGTGCCAAATGCTCTAGGTACGCCCCTGGTCAGGAATACATGTTTGTGTCCCTGACCCTATAGTGGTCCTTTAATTCACTGCCAGTCATTCTAGCAGATAATTATGGTATATTTAGTTCTAAAGTGGTGGTGCGCTGGTGCCTCTTGAAAAGCCAAAAGGATTTTGCAAAATGCGTACCTCCAGTGATGTCTCTGCGGTAGCAGTGAGGGAAGGTGTCAGAATTACTGGTACATCCAAAAAGCAAGATAAGTGGCCTGAAACACAAATCAGTAAACATCTTCAGAACAGGGGTACAGAGCTGAATGATTACTTAAAACTCTGGGACCATCTGTAATTATATGTTCAATTAAACCCTTTAGATAACTGAACATGTATATTAAATGATGGGTAGAAAATCAAAAAGGGGACCAGGTGGTTTCCTCAAAAATTATACTAGCAATCTTCTACAAATTTCCTCATGATTTATACCATATTTACAGCTTCACATTTTTCCAAGCATGTTCTGAGTGTCGATTACAATCAACTTGAAGTCTTTCGCTTTTATAAAATGATACCACAACTGCTTATTTTCTTTCTTTTTTTTTTAGGAAAACCTAAATCTGCTTTTTTTAAAAAAAAGCAGGTCGTGTTAAAACCACTGGCTGGTAAAAACACACATTTTGCAGCCCAATTTTTTTTTTTTTTTTTTAACATTACAGATACAGAACATGAGAGGGCAACATCTAATGAAAAGGCAGCCTCCAGGAATCTCACACTCCCCAGCTGTAGAGAGTTATGGAAGCAACACCAAGATGAGGGAAGGAGAGCAGTATCCCGCTATGTAGCCAATAGCCCAGCTGAGCAGTTGTCTTGGTAACCATGCTAATTAAACATTGGATGTCCGGATCATGCCGGCCATTCAGAGGGACCTCAGATGTGAGTACATTCTAAAAGGAACTATGGCTGCCAGGAGCTATTTTGGTGGGGTAAGTGGACTACTGGCTGCATAGCAGGAAGAAGCTTTCCTTGCTATTTCTATATTGCACTGTTAGCTGAATACAGCAGGAATATGAGAGAGAAACCTGGAGGCTGTCTTTTCGAAAGATGCTAGCTACACATGTTCAATACCTTTACCATTAAAATGAAAAGCTTCATTAAATGTTCAGCTTCCACTTTAAAATTGCTGCCCATTACATCAAAATAAAAAAATGTAAAAAGTTAACATTGTGCTAAGAGCGGATTTAAAGATACATATGTCATTGCCGCTTTCTGATCATCTGCTATTGTAGACACTTCCAGCTACCCATGTGCTGAAGTATGACACAGCCACCAAGGTTACAAGCTCCAAAGAGAGACCATATTCTTCAGTCATTTAAAAAAAAAAAAAAATAATATTTAAAAAGCTTCTATCCTAGATAAGGTAGCAAGAGTGGGGAGAGTGTGTGTGTGTGTATAAACACACACACACACACAGAATTTAAAATATATATTTATATATATATTTCTACTTTTGCTAAACAAAACATCAGGCCAAGAAGCCAATGACAGTCAAAGTCTATCTATTTCCCATAAATTAATTTCTCAATAAAGTTTCAGGGAGTAATTAGTTTTGCGGCCACTAGCAGTTCATTCAGGACATGAACGAAGCTACTCAACAAGCAAAGAAAGCACAAATGTAATTAGTTTGCTGAATAGCATAATTCAGGTTTCATCAATAATGTTACTCACAGTAGTTGGAAAACCTCTGCTATAGAAAGCCACGAACACATAAAAGTTACTTAAAAGTTACAGTAACCCTTTATAAAAAAATATGCCTAGCTAGGTCCCTTACTTCAAGAAGTACAAAAACAACTAGATTGGATAGTTTGTCCAGACACTAAAGGTTTCTTCAAAAAAGGCAGATTTATTGAAAACTGAATATGCAACGTTCCAGCCTTCACAGAGGCCTTTGTCAAGTTCACGAAGGCCAAAACATTGCACATTCAGTTTTCAATAAATCTGCCTTTTTTGAAGAAACCTTGAGTGCCTGGACCCACTTTCTACTAATCTCTACCAAATTGCGTTTTGCCAACCCGGTCTTTGATGCATCTGGTTTTCACGGTGAGAGTGCGATATTCATTATCTTTGAATCAACATTAGATTGGACAGTTTGGCCGGCTCAGAGTCCATGTGCTCACTCTGAGTTGGCAAAAGGAGGGAGGAGAAATAAATAAATATTTCATTCACCTTAGGAAGGAGGCAAGAGGAAGGGACAAGCAAATTTCTCCTTGCAGGCACGCTGTCTGCATAGAAGATTGTTACATCTGTTGCCAGCACAATGACTTACATAATTTTTGTAGATTTGATATTGGGCAGCCAATAAAAGTTCTCTCTCTGCTGGATGTGCAGCGTTTCAAGCATAAACGCTGCACATCCAGACTCCTACAAGCATGACTATTTTGAATTACTGAAGTGGTCATAGTGGTTGGTGTAACGCTTCAAAGATTACACGGAACTCTATAGTCGGCAAGACAACTACAGCTTAATGTAGTTCTGATATCTATAGCCTGTTCATGCAGGCTTTTTAATATAAATACTGCGTAAATAGTGTTTACATTACTGCCTAGAAACACCATCTTATGGCAGTAGTGGGACCCTCTTGAGTCAGCTCTGCATGGAAATGTTGAATGTTCCCCATAGAGATGCACTGATTCAATTTCAATATTAAAATTTGTAAAATGCAATATTAGGAGATGCTGGTTGGAGAAGTGGGGTATTTTTGCCTTACATGCACAATAGCCTCTCAATGCTTTCCTATGGTATAGCATTGGATTTGTTAAGATCAAGTTTCAAAATCGCCATGGAGGCTAAGCGAGGCTGGCAAAAAAAAAAAAAAAAATTGTTATTGTTACGTAAATATGTGTTTTGAACTGCAGTACAGAGCATTTTTTGCATGTTCCATTGCATACCTCCTAATTTGCAGTCTGCTATCGGCCTGTGGAGAACTGCTCTCATGGTTAGGTCATCAGACAATAGTGACTCCAGAGGGGAAAAAAAAAATAAGTAAAAAAAATAAAATAAAAAAATAGCCCTAAGCCTACCCCTAACCCTGAAGAATTCCCTCTGCTAACATCAGTATAGATATCTGCAGATTGATTTACTAGTAAAAACAGAGCAGTGTGTGACATTAAAAACACTGAATATATATGTAATGGCACAACACTATACAACGCATAATAAATCTTTTGTCTCTAAATGACTGACAGTGTCACGGTCACCTTTCCCTCCAAAATGAGTATTTCATAAAGATAAAATATTTATAAAAATACTTGCATGGTTTGTGTTGGAATTTCACAAAAATTCTAACCCAGTCAAAGGATATACTAAAACAAAGTAGGGACTACTTGCACTGACATCACCTAGTGGCTCCTAATACACCTTCCCCCACACTTAAATTAACTATGTCAATGTCAGTGCTCTTTGCAAATTACACTTTAAATGGTTTGTTTCATTACTTTACAAAATGAATACAAATCTTCTTGTTTCACATTTGCATAATACCCTCATAATAAATTATGTCAGCATGTAAAAACTATGGATTGTAAATTCACACATTTTAAAAATCTTTGTTTTTGGTAAACGAGACTCTTTCCTAGCCAGTTGTGTCCTTTTGTCCATTCTGCAAAATTGTAGCCAAAGACACACAGGCTATTTAAATGTATCCAAATGGGAGCACACACATATATAAAAAAAATGTTGTATACATATTTTCACCACGTGCATGTATAATTACAAAAACATTATATCCCAAATTAACCAATCAAAGCTTTGGATTGGAAATTCGTTTAAGTGCATTAGAATATAATAAGCTAAACAACCAATCACACATGCAACGGGTCAATTGAAATTAGTTTAACTGTAAATAGCTGATCAAGGTTTCAGAAGAAAAGGTGGTGGAATGGAAGATGGATGTTCTAGGAAAATAAATACGAGGTAACCATATAGTAAAGACATTCACACTCCAGCATACAGTGTTCACTCCATAATGGGAAGCCCTATCCAAAATCTAAAGAGGAAGATAGTATGCACACACCTTGCATGGCAGATGACTGTCCAGGGTCATTATGTTATATACACATTAAATGCAAACCAGACTACATGCTAGAACATGCTGATAAAGATGGCAGTCAAACAAACAGAACTGATTTAACTTGTTTCACAATAAGGCATTATATATGCACCAGCTGTTACTAGAGACCAAGTGTGTAAAACAATGTGCAATCCTGGTTTCCTCCATCATGCATTATAGACATCAGTTCTAGCATGCATTTATTACACACACAGCATGGCACGGCCAACCTCCCCACCTGCTCCGCTCAAAAAGAGGCTTTGTATCAGCACAGCAATATGCAACTTGCAAAGCAATTTATAGAGGCACGGGAGATATAAATGTAGGGTATTTTGGACTACCTCATCTAACTTTTTCTTAGGATTCATAACAGAATTTTGAACAATCTCAGAAATGAATTTTCCCTATACTAACCTATGCCGCATTAAAAAAATAAATAAAAAAAAATACAAAGCTATTTTCTGGGTATAAGTAGAAATAATGGCACTATTTTAAGCAATAAAGCATGGCCATCTCAGTTTTAAACCATATGCTTATGCAGATTGAATAAAGATGTCTAAATAAGGTGAACACATAGGAAAAATAAGAAATATTTGTCAAGATATTTGTGAAGGCAAAAACCAGGTGCTATTCTAGGTAAAATGCAAATAAAAAAGGAGCAATCACAGCCGAAACCAATACAATGTCTTTTCATGCAAAATATCACCTGTTTTCTTTGATAACCCCCCCCCATCCCCCCTTAGTGACTTATATTCACTTGGAGATATTTTGCTTAAATTAAATATAGCATCAAAATATTCCTATATAAAAAAACCTCCAACATATTATGCAGGGCTGTAGAAACGGTAAACACACAAACATTTGATGTAAAAATAAGTTCATAGAAGCGACATTATCTACACAATCATATGCTTTATTTTTTAACTGTACCAATGGCACATATAAGTTAACAGGTGAATTTTGTTTTTAAAGTTGTGCTTCTACACATTGAGGAAAACAGCAACACTTTATTCCAGACAGATGCCCCTTATATTTAATCCCTCCCACCTCCACCCACATAATTCATTAGGCCAAACATTACCGCAAAAAAATAAAATAATTCCCCCTCTGCCCTCCCACTCCCCAAATTGCCTAACAATTAAAAATAAAAGTTATCCCACAGGTTTCCCCGGTGACTAGACTGAATTAAATCACTGCTAGGTGAGTTATTGTAGTCAGGAGCTCAGTATTGCAGTGCTCCTTATATTTATGCCAGGTTGGCTGGCTACATTTGTATTGTCACTATTGGCCAGAATATTGCTTACAAAGGATGCCTATCCTGCAATTTAAACTCACTTGAGATCTATTTAATCTGTAGTTTTTCAGTACTTGCAATACCTTTACTGTGATTTATAATCAAAGCAATTCTGTCTTTTAATGAAAATGCAAAGCATTTTTTAGCCCTACTGTGAACTCGACCAAGGTAGCCTTGTACTCTCCGCATTTAGAAGAGACAGCGAGTATAGTGTGGTCTCCATGTTCCTCCTCTCGTTGGCTACTATGGTAACGTAACGAGGATGCCAGGTCAGCCTGCATCCACCTCTGCAACGCACTTTCCCCCACATAATGGAGGTGGATAAAGGCAGGATGTCATGGGGAGTTAGCAGCCCAGTACTTGCAATCTCTGCTGAAAGCACTCACTCTGCATTGACTGATCGAGCAGAGGCCATAAAATGTATTTGTCAAGTGACAGGAACACAGTAAAAGGAATTTATACATACACAATTTTTATTTTTTTTGAAACAAAGCTCTAGCAAGGTAAGGTACTTAATACAATCTGTTCTGTATTTTTATTGTTTCTTTTTTAATGACATCGAAACTGGAGAAAAACTACTGGTCATTCACGTAATCACCTATTTGCTAAACTGGGCAGATAAAGCAAAAACACTTCCCAAAATGGATGTGCTTCATTCAGCAAGTTCAATAGAAAAATGTAGCAGACATCCACGCTTGCTGGTAACATAAATCACAAAGTTTCTAGAAATTATTATCTCTAAGAAAAAAAAAAAAACCACACAAAAAAAATATAATAAACCGCAATGCTTATCATTTTGTAGCTACAACACTCAAGCAATATATATATATATATATATATATATATATTCAATTTTTATGAATATACCATTTTGCTCTTGATTACTAAACATTGAATGAAATTGTTTGACTTTTGCAAGTCTATTTCCAGTTCAGTTTTCTTTTTCTAGAATTCTCCATCTCAGCTCTAGTCACAATTTGAATATTTTAGAATACAGGTTTAGTTGTATTTCTAATTTATTACAATTTAGCATTTAGCAAATAAACACTTTTTTCCTCGCTACAATGTAACACTAGAATCAATTTTTTATTTTTTTTATTCTATACTGTGGACCTATGGTGAGCATCCACACAAGAAGACCAGAAAGGGTGTGTGAACAAGCACATGTGCGAGGTATGCATATTAAAAGGGCAATTGTACACTTTCACCACTAGGGACCAGGCCAGCAAAAAAACATTTTACAAAATCTATGGCTCAGCTAATCACATGTAGAATATTTACTTGTTAAGACCTAAATAAAAACACTTAAATACAGATTACTATGACAACCTGTCATAGAAAACAAACTTTAACCACGTTACTAAATACAACACCATTATTAATTAATTAAAATTACTAGAATTATATAAAATAAAATGGCTTCAGATAGCTGCAGTCAGAGACTTACCGTCACCGAACAGTCTTTCAACGCTAGAGCGTCTATCCAGCAGAAAGGACAAGACAGACACATACAGAACGATACATATACATACAGAGATACACACATACACAAGCAGAGATATAACCATACACTTAACACTCAAACATATACCTTGAACATTCTTTGCAGCTCATTGTCCAAAAGCTGAAAACTATCTTGACAAGTAAACTTTAAATGAAATGGTTCTAAAACAATCATACCATTCGGGGGTTTTTTTTGCGCTCGGGATTTTTATTTTATTTTCAATTCAACGGTTATGATGGTTTTTTATTTGGCCTTGTTTGGGGCTGAAAAATGAAGATTTGAGAAAAAAGAAGACGTTGAATGGTAAGTTTAATTTTATTTTACAGGTTAGTTATTTTATTCCCCCCTCACTATTTTTTAGGGTGAGGGGGGTAGGTAGGAACTTTTTATTTGGGTGGGTGACTAGGGGCTTGGGGACCCCTAGTCACCTTGGTGGGGAGGGGGGAAATTGACTTAGGGCCCCCACCCGCCGCCCAGGGGTGGGGGCCAGGGGGGCAGTATGTCCCCCCCCCTCGTTATCATTATGGCCCCCACCCGCTGCCCAGGGATGGGGGCTGGAGGGGGGGTGGACAGTAGGCCCCCCCCTCATTATCATTTGGCCCCCAACCGCCGCCCAGGGGTGGGGGCTGGAAGGGGGTGGACAGTAGGTCCCCCCCATTATCATTATGACCCCCACCCACCACGCAGAGGTGGTGGGGATATTAGGTCTCCCCCCTTATTTTACTTTAGGGCCCCCACCCGTCGTTTAGGGCTGGGGGCCAATAGTTTTTTTGTTTTTTTGTTTTTACAGTGAGCAGCCACAGGTTGCTCACTGTTTACTAGACATGCCCCTACTCGCGGTATAGCGAGTAGGGGCATATTTACTAATACTAAGTAATTTTTACTTGGTATTAGTAAATGTGGCTGACAGACCAATTTAGGTCTTTCAGCCTTTTAGTAGATAGCTCCCTGATACCGTGGGAATTAGGGAGTTATCTACTAAGCGGCTGCAAGGTGCAGCCACAGCAAGAATAGGATCGGAGTTTCATTCATTCGAATGAAATTGCGACCCTAATAAAATGCCGAATTGCGTTCTAAAACAAACGAACATACTGTTCTCATTCAGTTAGAACGCAATTCGGCAGTTTCGTGTAAAGTGACAGGAAGCATCGCGGGGAACACAGAGGAACGGTAAGGATCATGGGAAAATTGCTCTGACCAGCGGAAATGAAGCACACTTTGCTCCTCCGCTGGTCAGAGCTGGTCAAGCGGAGGAATCCTCCATAAGGCAAAGAGTCCCTACTTTGTCTTATGATTTTAAAGAAAACTAAAGAAGATAGGAAGAAAAGAAGAACATATCCTGAGAGAGGGGGAGAAGAGGAAGAGATTGAGGAAAGGTAAGTTTGGCATGACAGTGCCGCTTTAACTGCATGTCCCCACTGCTTTATTTTATAAAAGTGCAGGCTTCTCTTGATTTTTTTTTTATGAATTCCCCTAGTAACCAACACTTGCTTGACAGCTGGGTCACTAGTTCAAAGCGTGAGTGCTTCTCCTAGAGAAGCATTGGTCTCAATACTTCTTTAAGAAGCACTGCTCGCACCTTATGGCAGTTGCATTATGCGTGTCCCTATACTTCAGCAACTGGAATCAAAGGGTGGCTCGGCAGCACCTTTCATTCCGGCTATTTATAGGATGACTAAATGGCTAATATTTAGTATTGATTACCCTGATGGCCAGATTAGGAATAGTAATCCGAACACTAGAGAATTCCTTAAGGTTAACTAGTTTCTATGGTTTTAAAAACACTCACTTCTGCCTCAGATTTAGCTTTTCAGCTGGAACTAGCCAGTTTAAATAAGCAAAGACATCACCCTTAAAAGGTTTGCCTCAACATTGGCGAGTAACTTTACATTTAATGATGGCCATAAAGTGATACTAAAGACCTTTGGCATTTAAAAATGTACATTGAGGTTTAGGATAAAGCAAACTTACCATTTCGTGTTTTTTTTTTTTATGGGTTTGGAGCTAAAGACTATGAACAGTGCAAGAGTAATAGGTTTTGTGCACAGTGTTAACATGTTTTTCATAAACAGCAAAAAGTTTTATAAAACAAAAACAAAAAAACACAACAAATTTATTCTGCACTCATGAAATCCTATGAATACACCTTTCTCTATGTGTATTCTCTTATTCAAATGGCATTTGTTCTGTCCAACAAAGCATTCTGAATGACTCCTGCGACAGAGCATGTCAGCTGCTGGATATAGGATAAATACACTGGACAGTTCTTTATTTGAACTCAATATTAATTACAATTTAAGAATGAGAAACTATGAATTGTTTAAATTTCTCTCCCATCATTATTAAAACTATTTTAAAGGTGATTGGTTTATTGTAATTACTATGAAAAAGACTAGGCTCAGATATCCTGATTCAGCTCAACAATGAAATGGCATATAAATTTCAACTTAAAGCTGCATTCTAAAAAACATAGTTCTACTACAGTGGTATGCAACCTTTGCACTCCAGATGTTGTGGACTACATCTTCCCTGGTTCTTTAAAAGCATTATGGAGGAATGTAGTCGACAACATCTGGTGCCAAATGGTAATTTAATTACCAATAGTAAAAACAAAATAATTGACATTGCTAAAGCATAATGGGAAATTCTACTTTAGCTGGAGCACTGGTTACAGTGGTTACACTGCCCCTTTAAAATGAAAGGTATAGCATTAGAAAAACAAACATTTCCATAGTGCCCCTGATTACTACGTAGTAATATTGTCGGTATCCTTTCCGTTTGCAATAAAAATAAAAATAAAGTTTTACTCACCCTTGTCCAGCGCCGTTTCCTTGGCATTGCTCACCTCTCCACCTCCTGCAACATCATTGAGGAGGCATGACTTCTCTGGCAATGGTCCAAACCAATCTCTCAATGCTTTCCTATGGACGTTCTGCACGCTGGAAGAGGTTTTCGCATTCAGCGCCACAGAAGCGCCTTTAGCGGCAGTCAAGAAGACAGCCACTAGAGGTTGGATTAACCCTACAATGTAAACATAGCAGTTTCGGAGAAACTGCTATGTTTACACCTGAAGGGTTAAAACCTGGGGGACCTAGCACCCAGACCACTTCATGGAGCTGAAGTGGTCTGGGTGACTATAGTGTCCCTTTAAGAACATGTCCTCCTGTTGTGGTAGTTTTTCTTCTTATAGTCTCCTCCTTTACTGTGATTCCCTTTATATATTTAAATGTTTCTATAATAGCCCCCCTGTCTCTTCTTTCCTCCAGACTATACATGTTAAGATCTTTTAACCTTTCCTTGTAAGTTTTATCCTGTAATTGATGAACCAGTCTAATAGCCCTTCTCTGAACTCTCTCCAAAGTATCAATATCCTTCTGAAGATATGGTCTCCAGTACTGCATACAATACTCCAAGCGAGGGCTCACCAGTGTTCGGTACAATGGCACGAGCACTTCCCTCTTTCTACTGCTAATACCTCTCCCTATACAACCAAGCATTCTGCTAGCATTTTCTGCTGCTCAATTACATTGTCTGCCTACCTTTAAGTCATCTGAAATAATTACCCCTAAATCCCTTTCCTCAGATGTTGAGGTTAGGACTATCAAATGTTCTGTACTCAGCCCTTGGGTTTTTATGTCCAAGATGCATTTATTTCCTTCACTTATCCATTATATGTCAGTTGCCACAACTCTGACCATTTTTATAGTTTACCTAAATCATTTACCATTTGGCTTATCCCTCCTGGAACATCAACCCTGTTACATATCTTAGTATCATCAGCAAAAAGACATACCTTACTATCAAGACCTTCTGCAATATCACTAATAAAAATATTAAAGAGAATGGGTCTATGTACAGATCCCTGAGGTACCCTACTGGTGACATGCCCATGCTTCGAATATACTCCATTGACTACAACCCTCTGTTGCCCGTCACTCAGCCACTGCCTTACCCTATCAACAATATTGGAATCCAAAAAACTTCTTTTTCATGCCGATGGGCAAGCCCTCCCCTTAATCCAGGAAGAGACTTGCATTATCTTCTTGGGGAAAGTCGATCCGAAGTTTCTCTTAGACGCATAAGAAGCATACTGATCGGACTGCTCTGAGGTCTGATCTAAGGTAGAGCTCAGGGGAGCTGACGGAAGCAGGAAGAACACCTCCTTGCTGTTAGATTGACCAGGGGAAGGGAAAATCATCACTTTTATAAACCGTAATTATTATGGGATACTCTTCACACATGAAGCACTTTTAGGGTTTATTTGTTGTTTTTTTTTTTTTTTTTTAAATACCGTATTTATCTGCGTATAACATGCACTTTTTCTCCCTGAAAATAGGGGGCAAATTATGGGTGCGTGTTATACGCCGGCTCTTTAAATGCTGCAGCCGCCTGAGCGCTCTGTCAAGAGCGGTCAGGCGGCTGCAGTTGGTTCTCACCTCTCCTGTAGCGTGGCCGAGCTGCTCTGCTGTCCGCGGTGCCCGGCCGGAGTGATAGGAAGGTGCACGCTCAGCGTGCACCTTCCTGTCAGTCCGACCGGGTACAGGAAACAGAAACTCCTGTTCTGCGCGGAACAGGAGTTTCTGTTTCCTGTACCTGGTCGGACTGACAGGAAGGTGCACACTGAGCGTGCACCTTCCTATCATCAATGGATGCACCGCTGACAGCAAGAGGAAAGAAGGGGGGGAGCAAGAAGAGGGGGCAAGAAGGCAACAGAGGGGAGGGGGGTAAGAAGGGGAATAAGAAAGGGGGGGGTAAGAAGAGGGGGGAGGGAGGTAGGGAGGGGTGTAAGACAAGAAGAGGTGAGGGGGAGAAGAAGGGTAAGAGGGGGGGAAGTAAGAAGAGGTGGAGGGGGGGAGTAAGAAAGGAGAAGAGGAGGGAACAGAGGGGGGAGTAAGAAAAGGGGCAAGAAGGGGCAAGAGGGGAAGCAAGAAGAGAGGGGGAGGGGAGCAAGAAAGGGGCAAGAAGAGGGGGGGAGGGGGAGCAAGAAGGGGTAAGAAGAAGGGGGAGGGAGGTAGGGGGAGGAGTAAGAAAGGGGGTAAGAAGAGGGAGGGAGGAGTAAGAAGGGGGTAAGAGGGGGAGGGGGAGTAAGAAAGGGGGGTAAGAAGAGGGGGAGGGGGAGTAAGAAGGGGGTGGGGTGAGGGGGAAGTAAGAAGAGGGGAGGGGGAAGGGAGGGGGGGAGTATGAAGGGGGGTAAGAAGAAGGGGGAGGGAGGTAGGGGGAGTAAGAAAGGGGGGTAGGGAGAGTAAGAAAGGGGGGTAAGAAGTTCTTTATTTGAAATTTAAGTTTTTTTTTCCTGAAATTTCTTTCTTTCTTAAAATGAGGTGCGTGTTATACGCCGGTGCGTGTTATACACCGATAAATACGGTATACATAATATACATTTTTTGCACCCCTCCCTCATTCCAGGATCCTATTTAGCCTTGACCTGCAGAGAGTCCCAGGAGGAAGTAGTTCCCAAGTAAGTGGATTAATCTCATAAGAGCAGGCATCAGGCTGCTAGATTAGGACCTGCCAAGAATGGGCTACATTGACATTGTGGCAGGCTTATGCAATATATGATCATATAATGTAACTAAACCCCCACTATTTTTGCCTAGGTGAGGTGTTTTTAAATAAAACTATTACAATCTGTGAGATTTGAAATCATTGTACAATCTAAGTAGCTTCTTACATTAGGTGTGCTAGTACAACCAAGATATCTGCTCCCTAGATCCACACAAGACTTATAATGCAAACAGATAAGAACATGGTAAGTTTACACAATGGTGACAAGGAAGATGGTGGTGTTTATTCTCTAACAGGAACAGACTACAACCGACAAGGGATTTTTAGGCCAAATTAGAAAAGCAGTTAAAGGCAGAGAATTCTTTAAATTCAACCAATTTCACCTAAAATTGGCAATTGCTCTGCCAATTTTCCACAATTCTGTTCACAAGTCAATCCCTATGTATTATTATATATGGTAATTATGCTCCATTTAGTTTTTGGGATTTGTACCTTGAATTTGCACACCGTTTCAAACTGCCTTCCTTGGGCTGTGTTTGCTTTATATATTTCCTGTGCTGTAGAAGTGAGCTCCATATACAAGGTAAGATCTATAAAATTGTACTATTACCTATTTCTCCTGCCAATAAACATCTCTCTATATAACCAAGTATCCTGCTGACTTCCCACACTGCTTTTCCTCCAAGCTCGCTGGATTTTTAACTACTTCAGTAACACTTGGGAACACACAAAATAAGTCATGCTTTAGCATCTGTTACAGAAAAGGTTAATGCGATCACTCACTCTTCTGATAACAATTTACAGTATTTACTGAAGGTCCAAAAACAGGAATAGATACACAGGATGGTGTCAGCCGACAATGCGCTTCGTACCAGAATATCATACATTAGAAGTATCTGCCTCCCTCCAAGCACGGTGCTGAAGGTTATTCTAATGGATGTTGGATCTGAAACAGATCCAGGGACATCTGTTCCACCCTGTAATTATGGAAAGCCAAGAGGGAGAGAGAAAGAGTTAGATTAGGAGGTAGGAAGATAAGGCCAAGGAGAGAGGAAGGAGAGAGGAGTATACCCTGGGCAATATAAACCACACTATATACACCTCTGACATAGTATGCAGCACGACTGGCACACATGAAATTTTCAACATTGCTTACAGAATTCACAACTTACCTGGAAATATATGTCCGTCCGTCCCTAATCCTACGAAGCACTCTATCAAGCATCAGGCCATGTGAAACTGTATCTTTACTTACTCATACACACAAACACTCAGCTCCAGTAATAAATCTCAGAGACTGCACCTACTCTAGGCGAACTGAAACGCTATTGACAAACCTGTAGGGCTAACGCAGAATGCCAATATTTTCAGTGTCAAAACATATCATGCTAGCCTAGCACAATGCAACAAACCACATCAACATAAGAAAAGCTGGCTGAGGCATACACAAGTCTATCATGGACCAACTACTAAATAAATATATATTATAGACCAGTGAGGGGATAAACAAGTTTAAGTAATCACACACCCTGCTTGTTCTGCCTGCACCACATGGCCATCACTCCACCCCCTCCTAATCTGGCCTGGAGCACAGGAGGGCAGAGCTGGGATTCCAGGCCAACAGCCGTGGGAGAGGGGGAGAGGATATAGCCCTCTCAAACCATATGTGAAGCAATGTCCAGGGAGGGAATGCAGAGACGGGGAAAAGGAAAATATTGGGGACTGGAAGACAGAAAAGGAAAATGTAATTATGAAACTAAAAAAAGGACCAGAAAAAATGATTAGTTGAAAAAAAAAAAAAAAAAAACAAGAAGGAAAAGAAAAATAAATTAAGGAATACAGTTCGAATAGATTAAAAGAAAGGAGACTGGTGAGAAAATAAAAACCGGGCTAGGGGGTGTTTAGCAAGAGAGAGAGAGAGAGACACAGGAGAGAATAAACAGAGCGAAGAGAGAGGTTTGTGGAAGGGGGTGAGTGTGGGAGAGGAAGAGCAGAGGGAGGGAGACAGATCCGCCAAGACATTATCACCTCTTTCCAACATCTGAGACAGACCAGGAATAACCACACAGGCACACAGGAGGGAAGCAAGGGGGAGGGGGTAGAGTGGGAGAGAGAAGGTTATGCTGCCATTATCTATTGGGCTGTCTGGCAATGAGTTAAACTCTGAAGTATCTGCTCTCTGGAAAGAAAGGGGTTACACTGTCACACTGCAGTGCTCCCTATGGGGATTTAAATTCCACACCATATGCCCTTAGTGATCTTGGTGTGTGCAGGAAGGAGGAGGGGGAGGAGGTAAGGAGCTTTGGAGCCAAATAAACATGCAGAGGTGATAAGACCTTTACCAGGGCTAGAGGAGGAAGCAGTTCAGTGGCCATGCCAGGCCAATGACCAGACTGAGCCGGATTAAAACAAAGACTAGCTATTTTAGGAAACCCCCCTGCCCAAAAATCAAATTCCAGAGATCCAAAAAGGCCTGAGAGCACAGCATTTGTGTTTGACAAACGCAACAGCCAGAGAGACAAGTCTCAGAACAACATCATTGCTGTATATTTATGAAACTGAGTATTTCTTCCTTGGCACTAAACTCTGGCAAATTCTACAAATACTTTTCAACCCTAACATTAAATACGCCACTGTCAGCCAACACTGCACTCCTGTGGAATAGAACCCCTACCTTTGAAACTGTTTTCTGTATTCGGAATTGCTAACTATGCGTTATACAGAAAATGTACTTTAAAAAACATCCAAACTATCACAGATGCCTGTTGAAAAAGCCAGTGGCCATCACAGCTCCTTTATATTGTTAATCTTATTTAAAATAAGAATTACATTTTAAAACCAAATCAAAGAAGTGATCATCAGTCTACTGAACCTAAAACATGCATGGTGAAAGCTCGGCTTTCAGTACATTCCTAATAATGTGGCTATAAATAATACCTAAATATTGCCAATGGATCGTTCTCTACAAGAACATGAAATGGTTCTGGGGCACAGTGTGCAAAGTCTTCAAACCAGGTTTAATTTGATAAATTCACAAAAGCTTGTATAAAATAGAATACATATCTACTACTGGCTCCTGTTGGAAAAAGGTTAGGAAATAAAACACATACATATGCAACAATTTTTGGCAGTCAAGGATGTCAACCATTTAACAAACATACCCCCCTATGTGTATCACTGTAGTATCACTTGCTGACACATAGGAGGAAGTTTGATAAATGGTGGACATCCTTGACTACCAAAAATTAGATTGCAATTTTTGAGTCACCTATATATAAACAGCATCTTATGGCTCATTTAAGTCCTATCACATCACCACTCATTTCCTGCATAGTGGGAGATTGTGTTTTACATTGTAGTACAAAATTTCTCCACTAGGCAGCACACTTCTGAGGGAAGAGCACAAGGGGGGTGAAGGACAACAGTTTAAAGAGACATGCTAGTAAATGGAGTGTGAGTGTGTTCTTATATTACCAAGAGAAACAATTCCAAAAAAAAACCTTTTAAAATAAAATGTAGTAGGGGGGTTGTGGTAGAGAAACAAACAAAAAACAGTGTGTCAATACTTCGATAGAAATGATAATTTTGCCTGGCCCCAGCTTTCTGAGGTTCGCTCCTGTGTTCAAATGAACAATTAAAGCCCACCAAAGCCTTCTCTCACAACTTCTTTTCTAAATGCCTAGCTGATGCGAGTCTGCACAATTATAGAACAGGACAGTATAACCTGATGTGGATCTCATGGGTATTTGTACAGCTTTCCAGTCTAAATAAATCTAAACAGATAGCTAGGTCACTGCACACAGTTACATCCTATAGGCCCTATTCTATCACTCCTTTAAGAGAATATAGACAGTCTTTGCTTATAAATTATATATGGCTTCCCTATTAAAAAAAAATTAGGACAATATGGATATAGTTATTTTAGCACCAAACAGAATATGGAAAGAGGAGACAATACGAGGAAAGTTAAAAAAAAATTGGAAGCATTGAGCCATGAAATAAATTGCTCAACAACTGTCTAATTGGGTGTTGTTCTACAATTATATCTTACTAAAAATATCAATTTTACTATAAAGAATCCCTTTAAACTGTTATTTTATTATTTAGATAGCACCAACAAATTTTGTAGCGCTGTACAATGTTATATAGGTAATGCACTCAAAATTAGGGGAGAAACAAAAAAACAGTACATTTAGATACTCTCCTTCCTAGTTTACGCTGCTTCTACAAATATAGTGTAAAAAAGAAGAGGCTCCACTAATCAGGAGGCTTATGTGTAGGGATCGACCGATTATCGATTTTACCAATATAATTGGCCGATATTTGGTATTTTCGGCAATATCGGTATCTGCCAATTCAGATACCGATATTGCCGATAATACCTCCTAGGACCGCCAGGCTCATTACAAGCCCGGCGGTCCTGGGAGGGGGTGGGCAGCAAGTGTTTACTCACCTCCCTCCTGCTCCCCAGTGTAACTCTCGTGAGACCCCCCACAGCTCAGCCAATGCCACTGGATCACCCCTCCCTGGCCAAGTATGAAACAGGGAGGGGGACAACAAAAACAAATAATTAATAAATATGAAAAATAAATAATTTAATTTAAAAAATGCCCACACACACTCCATTATATACACATACACTACACAAACACACTGTGTATATAATGCAGAGCGTGTGTTTGTATAGTGTGTGTATATAATGCAGTGTTTGTGTAGTGTGTTTATATAATGCACACTACAGAAACACTGCATTATATACACACACACACTATACAAACACACACTCTGCATTATATACACACACACTACACAAACACACTGTGTATATAATGCAGTGTGTTTGTGTAGTGTGTGTATATAATGCAGTATGTTTGTGTAGTGTGTGTATATAATGCAGTATGTTTGTGTAGTATGTGTATTTGTGTAGTGTGTGTGTGTGTGTGTGTAGTGTGTGTATTTGTGTAGTGTGCGTGTATAATGCAGTGTTTGTGCAGTGTGCGTGTATAATGCAGTGTTTGTGTAGTGTGCGTATATAATGCAGTGTGTGCGTCGTGTGCGTATATAATGCAGTGTGTGCGTCGTGTGCGTATATAATGCAGTGTGTGCAGTGTGCGTATAATGCAGTGTGTGCAGTGTGCATATAATGCAGTGTGTGTTTGCATAGTGTGTTTATATAATGCACACTACACAAACACACTGCATTATATGCACACACACTATACAAACACACTGTGTACATAATGCAGTGTGTTTGTGTATTGTGCGTATATAATGCAGTGTTTGTGTAGTGTGCATATATAATGCAGTGTTTGTGTAGTGTGCATATATAATGAAATGTGTGTAGTGTCTATATAATGCAGTGTGTGTTTGCATAGTGTGTTTATATAATGCACACTACACACACACTACACACACACACTGCATTATATACACACACACACACTCTGCATTATATATACACACACACACTACACAAACACTTTGCATTTAGTATATACTGCATTCACTTTACACACACTAGACAAAGACACACTGCATCCACTAGACACACACACTACACAAACACACACTGCATCCACTACACACACACTACACAAACACACACTGCATCCACTACACACACACTACACAAACACACATTGCATCCACTACACACACACTACACAAACACACACTGCATCCACTACACACACACTACACAAACACACACTGCATCCACTACACACACACTACACAAACACACACTGCATCCACTACACACACACACACACTACACAAACACACACTGCATCCACTACACACACACTACACAAACGCACACTGCATCCACTACACACACACACACACACAAACACTGCATCCACTACACACACACACTACACAAACACACACTGCATCCACTACACACACACTACACAAACACACACTGCATCCACTACACACACACACTACACAAACACACACTGCATCCACTACACACACACACTACACAAACACACACTGCATCCACTACACACACACACTACACAAACACACACTGCATCCACTACACAAACACAGACAGCTCCCCTGTCTAAACGCACTGCATCCACTACACGTGGCATGTATATTTTGTGTATTTACCTTTAGAATTAGTTTTTATTTTCCAAAATGGTAAATGTACAGAATATCGGCAAATTATATCTGCTATCGGCCTGAAAGTTCACAGAATATCGGTATCGGTATCAGCTCTAAAAAAAATCAATATCGGTCTATCCCTACTTTTGTGTTTAGTATTTATAACTATCTCACCAAACTACAAATCCACTCCTCAAACGATTGCAGGAAATGCGTTTGTGTTTTTTTTTTTTTTTACTAAGCTGTGTGCAGATGGCTCTTAAGCCACTAACCATGTATTTTACAAGTTGATTCAGTTATATTCTGGGATGGAAGCAAAGTACTTTAAGCACCATTAAGTTATGGTTCATTGAGTAATCCTTTAACAATGAAAAAAAATTATGAATATTAGTGCTGCACACTTGAGCATGCGCAAAAGTACACCAATATCTATTGTGGATCCCATATAGACATGGAAAAATTATAAACAGTCTTGCGATGCGCAAGACAATGTCCTTCCACAGCTGTCACCAACGACAGCTGGGGGAATTGACAAAAGCCAATAGCAGCAGCAGCTCCTTTTGACAAGTTGTGTCAAGCAGAGGAAAAATACATAGGACAAAGTATTCCCTTACTTTGAATTTCTAACACAGTCAAAAGTTATTACAAGACAATGAAATTCCAACACTGTCTTTATGAGTATTTTTAAAAGCTTTTTTTTTTTTGAGGGGTGACAGAGCCACTTTAAAAATATTCAGCTACTCCCCCAATAATTGATGCATCCACACACTATTTAAATTTACAAATGCTCAAATGTTTGTCACCAGTTAAATTCAATAACCAAAACAAAATGATTCTATAATTCTGTTTCCACCATAGCTAGAATAAAACAGCCATTAGTATTTTAGTAATAGGCAATGTAAGCCCAATGCATTACAGAAAAAAAAAATGTAGGAAACTCACACACCGTATGTCCAGACCAGTATTGTGAAGGAGTATGTATTCCCTTCGTAAGAGGGGTTGCTGCAGCTCTTTATTACCAGCAGCATCCATGTGGATGTTTTGCTGAGAGGAAAGCATACATGGATTCAGGGAAAGACTGGCAATGGGGACACTTGCCCTCAGACCACTAGTATAGAGGGGTTTGCATATTGCTGCATCATAGTTACAATATATATTTGATATTGTGCTATGTTATTATATGACAGTTGCTGCAGAATTTGTATAAATTAGTGAATATAAAATTAAGAAAAAAAGAATTTAGTGTGCTGGTTTTAACTCAAATTAAAAAATATATTTGCAGTTGTCCCCATACCAAATGTAACCAGCCCTTCCCCTGCAAGGATTAAATAGTACGGATTAGATTGTAGTTCTACAATATATCAGAATTGGCCTTGGATTCTTCCATTAGGAGGCTGCTGGGCAGAATGATGGAAAATTCTATGGATGTGTAACAAAGCAGAACACTTTCAAGCTGTGTTTTTGTACAATGTAGTAAATAACAGAGAGGGGAAATAAGAGCCCTGTGCATGTAAAAAAAAAAAAAAACACACATAAATGTAGGATATTCAGAGTCCATAAAGCGAGATTGGTACTGTGAAGGTGTATGCATCCCCATTCGAAGCAACATCCACACTGAAATTTTGCTAGGTGAAAAGCATTGGATGTCCATTGTAGCAGGTAAGTATACTTGCTGCCCAACTTGTCACAGCAGAGTAGATAAGACAGACATTTTGCAGTGCTGGTCCAGTGTGGACTACATCAGCCTAGAAAATGGCTGAGTGGCAAAATAGAAGGTCAAAAAAAGAAAAAATAGGCCAGGCTTCCAAGAAGCTGCAAAGTCATCTAGCATAAAAACACCTGTGCCCAGAGGACAATGAATGTTATAGAGTGTGATAGAGCCAAAATGCCACTATAGCAGCATTCCTAAAGAAGTTGTCCACTAAACACTAAATTCAAACAACAGTTGTGATTACAGCTATTTTAAGGTATTTTATTTTGGCCTTAAACGTAGCAATTTCATTTTCAATTCCCTAAGATTCATTGTAATATTGTCTTTTCAATATACAAATCTATAAGTCACATACTTAATGACAAAGTAAACATATGCACAAATAGTGGAAGAATTAAGCATTACTCCAACTTGAAGGGCCTGCTGTCCAATTCCACTAGCAAAGAGCTTGCATACATTTTTGCTTGCTATTTCACAGAACCATATAAATAAGTATTTACTGGAATGAACTAAATACATAACATGCAAATAATACATTTAACTGTTCTACATCGCTGGCTCGCTGTCTGGGTTTTCTCCTTGACTCCAACCTCTCTCCTACACCCCTTATGTCAAGTCACTTGCCAAATCCTGTCGCTTCCATTTCAAAAACATAGTTGGCATCTGCCCCATCTAACACCGGATGCGGCTACGGTGCTGGTCCATGCAGCCATCACCTCTCGCCTCCATTACTGCATCATGCTTCTCAGTGATCTTACATGTTCCCAGCTTACCCCCGTTACAGTTGATAATGAAGGTGGTGGTGAGGCTCATCTTTCAGTCCACCAGCATCTCCCCCGGTCAGTCCTTATATTGGCTTCCTATAAGATTTAGGGCTCGATTTAAAATTCTGTTACTTGCTTACAAGTCTCTACAGAACATTGCTCATACCTATCCTCCCGAATACACAAGTATGTCCTGTCCAGGCCCCTGCGCTCTTTTTTCCACTCCCTCTAAAATGCAATTTTTTTAACCCCTTAAGGGGTTAAGCAGGGCCCTCTACACACACTGTTCCTGTGCGTCCAACTCGTCTTGCTGAAAATACTTGTCTGTTAGGCCACCTATTGTACAGCGCTAGGCAATTAGCGGGCGTTTTATAGCTATTAAAATGTGAAGCCTACATATTTTATACATGAAAACCAATGATTGATACCTAAATGGGTTGTGTATGAATGCACGCATACATAAAAAACAATTATGATGAAAGCCTATTGGTCATTTACTGCTGGAACCATTCAGTAAACACGTAAATACGGTGATTATCATGGAATCACATCAATTGGAATTTGAATCTTTAATTTCTGCTCCTTTTTTTTTTTTTCTTAAGTAGCTAACATGCCTTTAATAACAAATTATAATTTTGTAGTTGAACAAATACAAATAGCAGTAAATGGACTATTCTCGTGCAAATAGGAAGCATCATTAAACAACTTGATGTTTCCTCTCTACTATTCTAATGAGTAAAACCTAGCATCTATGCACAACTTCAAAATAAATCTGAAGTAAAGGGTTAAAGGGCAGTGATTGGGGAGGAAAGGGTCTAAATTCTTTCCCAGCTGTGGGAATGGCTGCTCTCCACCTCCTCCCCAACCCCTCCATCAGCACACACCTGGCAGGACACTGCTCCCTGTCTCAGTTCTGCTCTCAACTCACAGGAGCAGCATTGTGTGGGACCTGACATGAGAAAGGAAGGGGGGAGGTGCAGAGGTGCTGGTATCATTTCCTCTGTGACATACAACCCTGAGGACAATGAAGGATATAGGAAACGTAGTATGTCCCTCCACTAGACAGGTGGTAGGGGAACACAGTATGGAATTATGGTATGTGCAGCCATTCCTACCAGCTATAGTGTGAGCATGCGTTCATTCCCCTCATCATCTGAATAAGCATTTATATCAGTATGAGAACTAAACGAAGAGTAGACAAGACTCAGCACACAGGACAAACAAGAAGATTATGTAATCATGGGGTGCGAAGGTATCCCTCCGGCTGTGGGAGCTGGATAGAAGGAGACAGACATTGGATACAAAGCTGCTGTTATTCCTGCCCTTCCTGACACTGTTTACAGGGTGGGGATTCCAAATAAACACTTCCTGTCAGTGGAGCATGCATCCATATGGGGCAAAAAGCCACATGGCAGCTATTTGCTTAACCCTATTGGTTACCATGCAAGAGGAGAAATACAATGCAAAAAAAAACATTTTACGGCAATGATCAACAGCTTGCTCAGACAGTGACACAGTCTGGAATAATTTATCAGAACTCCCATGTAAATCGTATCGCGCTAACACTTGGAGAATGGCTAAAGTAATGTGGAGGCACAATAAATTAATTCTCTAACAAACAGTACTGATGAGACTTCAGCAAAGAAGGTAAGAAGTATACTGAAATGAGAGGGAAAATATAAAAAGCCATGAAAGGGATATATATATATATATATATATATATATATATATATATATATATATATATATATATATATAAAAAGTAAACATACATAGGAATAGGGTAACAAAACTGGAAGGAAAACCATGAAAAATAAATAAAAGCAAAGCGACAGAAAAAAGGAGAAAGGGAGATTAGGAATGAGGGAGCAACAGGGGAGAGTTGAAGCAGTTTCTAAAGTAGATAGAAACAAGACAAGTATGGGAAAGAAATATGTGAAAGCATAACAGAAGAGGGAGATGGGAAAGCTAAAAAGTGTGATGAAAGAAAAAAAAAACACAGAGAGTAAGCGCAGCAGAGAAAAGCTGAGTGCAGGGAAAGCAGAATGGGAAAAGTGCAGAGAGAGCACAAAGAGAAAAGAGCAAGAAAAGCAGAAAGAGCTGAAAGAAAAAAAAAAAAAGGAGACAGCTCAGGCAGTAATGAACAAAATGCAGGAAAAAGAATATTGCACACACCAGAAAGGGAAGCTCTGGAAGGGAAGGGAGGATTGAAAACAGGAGTGCAGAAGTGAGAAGAGAGAGATAAGTCAAGGACTGTTAAAGCAGAAATGGAAATGATTGGAGTAGGGAAAAAGGGGGGGGAGAGAGAGTTAACAAGCACAGTGGCATATTGCATGCATAGAGAAATTATACAGAAACTATAAAAACATTACAGAAAATACATACACACAGAATTATAGGACACTGGGCAGGATGAACAGTTCACAGAAACTGGTAATGTGCATCGGGAAAAATAGAGAGTCAGTGCACAAAAATGAGGGGGTTCTAGAGAAAACCAAAGAGATGAAAGGGGTAAGGTGAAGAAAGGAAAAACACACACACACAAAGATGGGACTAGTTTTGAAGCAGACTTGGGAATGGGTAAAGCAAAAATCGACACATTAAGGAAGAGAGGGAGGGTGAGAGATACTGAAAGAGGAGCTTGAGAGGCAGCAGTTAGCAGCAGGCAGGGGACCTGGCAGTGCCAACCCTCAGCATGTAACAGAGCACAGATGGGGGGAGAGAGAGGAATAGCATGTTGTTCAATCTCTTTTCAGCGTCCAAATCCTACTTCCCCCCTCCTCTCCTCACTCTCTCACTCCCTCTCTCCCGGGCTGCAGGGCTGGAATTTTCCACTGGTTTTTTGCACATCCCTCAGCCTCCAGGAATGCGGCTGGCTACGTCTCCCTCCATGCACAACCAAAGGAGAGGAGGCCAGGACACCAGCGGCTATAGAGGGGGTGGGGGAGTGGAGAAAAGGAGGTGGCAGGACACAGCTGGCCAACCCCTTAAAAGGGAGGCTCTTACTGCTCAACACATGTGGTTTCTTTAACCAACCCCCCCTCATAGACTCACAGCCCACAGACATGTATGACCAATATATTACATGTACTCAGATATGCTCAATTTATGGTATATATACACTGCAGTCACCTGTAAAAAACCATAGTCTTGATATTTTGTTACCATTTTATGATGTGGTACACTGAGCTAATAGTGCTTATAAAATGACATTAAAAAGCTGTCTTTATTAACAAATTGCTAAGAACCGATGATCTCTAAATAATTTAAAGAAGAAGTATGGCGTCCTATCCCCAACACATCATTATGCAGATTCAAAAACGCTAAATTACCTTATCCACAGAACTGGAAGCCAACATTCTGCATCATAGGCAGGCAGACAGTCTCAGAATTGCATGATCATCAAAACACTTAAGTCTGCAGCACTTTGCACTTTGACACTGACCAACCTGTGCACCATGCTTTTTAAGTGGGTATATTGCTGTAAGAACGCCATCTTATGAAATAATAGAATGTGATCACCAAATTTATTTACCTGAATAAATATTGCTGTTCCGAGTCCTTGGATATGTGCTGCAGTGCAAATGGGGGTTCAGACATTTCAATCTGTAACCACAAAGATAAGGGTGAGCTATAGCACCTTTGTGACATTCAGAAAGCCACTATAAGAGCATTTTAAAGCAGCTCTGTCATGTTATTTCTCTTTCAGTTTTCCTTTCCTTGTCCCTCGTGTTTTAAAGGAACATTACAGCATTGCAACAAACCTGTATTCTGAACGCTAGTGTTCTCTTTATTTAGATTCAACTACGCCAAATCAAAACGAAGCGTCAAAATGTCCAAGCCCCAAGATACATTCATTGCAGTCGCTCGATCCGCCTCCAACAATATAATCCGCCTCCAACAATATCACAATGAAGCTTCTTTTTCGTCCAATCCAATGCTACTCATAGAGAAGGGTTGGTTGGAGACAAAAAGCATATGCACAGCCAGAGCTGTACTTCTCCAATGAAATGGTGATTAGCAATAAAATGATGAGAATCATGTTTGACTCTAATCACAGCAGAAGTGGTGTTGTCAAGTAGGCAGCCACTAGAAGCATATTTATATCCCTGCAAGGTATGCATTGCCGGATCTACTAAACGGCAAAGTTTTACATTGCAGGGATAAAGCTAAATGACTACTAAAGGCACCCAGACGACTTCATTGTGATTATGTGGTCTGAATGCCTTTAGTAGTCCTTTAAATATTTTACTCTTCGCCACTTACCTTTATTTAAATTTCTCTCCTTCCCCTACCATTACATCACCCAACCCCACTCCCTCCACCACTCTACACTCATTCACACCTGCTACAGCAGAAGAGGTTTCTGCTCTGCTCCGGTCCTCCCGCCCCACCACCTGTTCCCTCGATCCTATTCCTTCATATCTCATCCGCACTATGTCTCCCTCTCTTGCTCTTCCCCTCACTAACATTTTCAATCTCTCCCTTTCCTCTGGCACATTTCCCTCACCCTTCAAACATGCAATTATAACCCCAATTCTGAAAAAGCCCTGCCTTGACCCCAACTCCCCATCCAACTACTGCCCTATCTCACTAGTGCCATTTGCCTCCAAGATCCTCGAGAGAGAGTTGTGTACACCAGACTGACTGACTTTCTCAAAACCAACTCTCTGCTTGACCCCCTTCAGTCTGGATTCCGCGCTGGTCATTCGGTCGAAACGGCTGTGACCAAAGTATCCAACGATCTAACTGCTGCTAAATCTCGCGGCCATTACTCTATCCTAATTCTCCTTGATCTTTCTGCTGCCTTTGACACTGTTGATCATCATCTTCTCCGTAATTTTGGTCTACGGGATACTGCTCTCTCCTGGTGCTCCTCCTACCTCTCCCAGCGCTCTTTCAGTGTTTCTTTCTCGGACTCTGCCTCTTACCCCCAACCACTCTCTGTTGGCGTCTCCCAAGGTTCTGTCCTTGGTCCACTACTGTTCTCCATCTACGCTGCCTCCCTTGGTAAACTCATCAGCTCATTTGGCTTCTGTTATTTCTATGCGGATGACACGCAAAACTACCTGTCCTCTCCTGACCTCTCTCTGCCTCTCTTCGATTTCCAAATGGATGGCTGCTCACTTCCTTAAACTCAACCTGTCCAAAACAGAACTTCTGGTCTTTCCTCCCTCAAGTGTTACTACTCCTGTGTCCGTCTCCCTCCAAGTCAACAGCGCTACCATCACCTCTACCTCGCAGGCTCGCTGCCTGGGTGTTATTTTTGACTCCAACCTCTCCTTCACCCCTCATGTCCAATTAATTGTCAAATCCTGTCGCTTCCATCTCAAAAACATAGCGCGCATCCGCCCCTATTTAACCCCGGATGCGGCTAATGTGCTGGCCCATGCTCTTGTTCTCTCTCGCCTAGACTACTGCAATACTCTTCTCAGTGGTCTTACGTGTTCCCAGATTGCACCGCTGCAATCTATAATGAATGCGGTGGAGCGGCTCATTTTCCTGTCCGCCCGCACCTCTTACACCTCCCCGCTCTGTCAGTCTCTGCATTGGCTTCCAGTTAGATATAGGGCTCAATTTAAAATTCTGGTGCTTGCTTACAAGTCCCTACATAATGCTGCTCCAACTTACCTATCCTCCCTAATACACAAGTATGTCCCGTCGAGGCCCCTACGCTCTGCCAAAGACCTACGTATATCCTCTGTCCGTACTCCCACCTCTAACGCTTGCCTCCAAGACTTTTCCAGGGCTGCACCTCTTCTTTGGAACTCCCTTCCCTTCTCCTTAAGAATTTCACCCAGTCTCCACTCATTCAAAAAAATCATTGAAAACTCACTTCAAGAAAGCATGTCAATTAAACTGTTAGCAGGTTTTCATTCCCCACCCTCCATGACTCCTCTCCTGCAACTATCAAAAATTACCTACTAAGCCCTCACTTAATACTCTTCTAACAACCTACTTTGTACCCCTATTTTTACCCTTTGTGTCACTATACCCCACTCCCTCTAGAATGTAAGCTCATGGAGCAGGGCCCTCCACCCCTCTGTTGCCGTACGTCCAGTTGTCTGGTTACAATTGCATGTCTGTTAGTCTACCCATTGTACAGCGCTACGGAGTCTGATGGCGCTATATAAATAATAAATGGATCTTTTCTTCCATGTGCTAGGTCTCAATATCTGGGAGCCTTGATTTTGTTCTCCTCTGTCCAAATCTGCAGTTTGCCCTTCTGTGGGCAAAGATTACCCATGAGAAAAAGTATTTTTCAAATGCATAAACTTCAAAAAAAAAAAAAAAGTAACACTAACCACATGACTCTGATCAGCTTTGATTGGTAGGAATGGTTGCAGGGGGCCTGTATTATCCAAGTATATAGAAGTATTTACAATTATATGTTTGGGGACCTGTCTGATAACCCAGGCACATGTGCCAGAGAATTTAATTTGCAAGCCCTATATTTGACCCTGTAATTTTCAAAAACCCATAAACCCTCTATAAGAGTGTTCCTGTTGTACTTGTTGGATATCATTTAACACAAATATGAGTGTATTAGAGCAGTAAAACATAATGACCATGATTTCAACATTGAAAATGCAGTTTTGCATGAAAACTTAAATGTCTAATTTTGACAGCCACCAGAGGCTCATCCGCAGATATAGAGTAAAACTAGACTATTTCAATCAGATCGTCTCCTAGTGACCATCTGATTGGCACAGCATGGCATTTTGCTGCACATGTACAATAGCCTCCCAATGCATTCCTTGATGATCTCAGCCATGGAGAGGGGAAACAGCCACGGAGACAGCACTGCAGTGTGGGAGAAAAGGCTTGTAAACTACCCTTTTATACAGAGTGGGGAGACAGGTAATCTAAATTGGATAGAGGACACTATAGCATTGCTAATACACATTTGTTCCTTTAAGGTTGTACTTCATTCAAGCACACACACAATACATTTTCATATCAACATTGAGACAGAGGACATGTAAAGTTGTTTTGCAGTAATTAAAAAAAATCTTGATCTAAGTCCCCTTCCATCTACTCTTTGTCTCGATCACTACACTAGGACCAAGTAATGTAGTGATCGTCCACCATCTGGCTAGACACAATTTTCTTCTATAATAACTCAAGCAGTAGATGTGAGGAATGTGGCAATGAAAAAAAATCTGCCCCTTTATATGATGGGGAGTTTTGGTTAATTTTGTAAATTAAAAAACAATTTATACATATGTATATATCCTGATGAAAGTTTATTGGTAAACTGAAATGTTGATTTTATTTTTGCAATATGTAAATAAAAGCCAAGTTTTAACTTTCTACAATTCTGAGAAGTCCCTGGAGTGCTGTCATTGAACATATGGTTTTGTATTATTGTGGATAAGCACCGGGCATTGTATTAGACTCTGGAGTACAGGTGTTTATAGAGATAGTCTATATAAAATATTTCATCAGAAGTTATAAGACTGGGCATTGGTTGAGCGATTTTACGTGAGCAGTGGGTGAGAATTGTGAAGTGTGAAGAAATTAAACTTTTTGTGTCAAGCAATGCTATGTAACTAATCCTTTAAAATAATTTCTTAAAGCAGCGGTCACTTTAAACTTACCATGCTTTAATTTGTTCCTCTTCTCTTCCTCATGCCTAGCGCATTTTTCCCTTTTTTGATCTGTTTTTCCTAAAATACAAAACTTTGCCTATGTCTATTTCCACCACTTAACGAAAGGCAGAGCTACATTTGTCAAGTTTTGTCACTTCCCATAGCCATCAGTAACTTGCATGAGGGTACAACACTGAGAAAGCGTCAGGAGCTGAAGATGATGTTGGAATTTACAGGGAGCATATTTGATACCCAACTAGCCGTATATGATAGCCTACAAACCTCAACATCTGAGGAAAGGGATTTAGGAGTAATTATTTCACATGACTTAAAGGTAGGAAGACAATGTAATAGAGCAGCATAACATGCTTGGCTGTATAGGGAGAGATATTAGCAGTAGAAAAAGAGACCATTGTACAGAACACTGGTGAGACCTCATTTAGAGTTTTGTGCGCAGTACTGGAGACCGAATCTTCAGGAGGATATTGATACTTTGGAGAGAGTTCAGAGAAGGGCTATTAGACTGGTTCATGGATTACAGGATAAAACTTACAAGGAAAGGTTAAAGGAACTTAACATGTATAGCTGGGAGGAAAGACAAGACGGGGGGATATGATAGAAAACATTTAAATACATTAAAGGAATCACAGTAAAGGAGGAGACTATTTAAAAGAAAAACTACCACAAAAAGAGGACAGTCTTAAAGGACCACTATAGGCACCCAGACCACTTCAGCTCAATTAAGTGGTCTGGGTGCCAGGTCCCCCTGGTTTTAACCCTTCAGATGTAAACATAGCAGTTTACATTGCAGGGTTAATCCAGCCTCTAGTGGCTGTCTTCCTGATAGCCGCTAGAGGCGCTTCTGCAACGCTGCATGCGAAAATCGTATTCAGCTTGTAGAACGTCCATAGGAAAGCATTGCGAAATGCTTTCCTATGGACTGTTTGAATGCGCGAGGCTCTTGCCGCGCATATGCATTCTGCTCCACACAGGAGCTGACGTCGGCGGGGGAGGAGAGGTCACCCCTTCATCCCAGCGGGAGGGGGACCCTGAGGGTTAGTGTCAGGAAAACAGTAGTAAGGCCAGGGACTAATGAAAGTATTTCGAAAACTTGGCAGACTAGATGGGCCAAATGGTTCTTATTTGCCGTCATTTTCTATGTAACATCAGGTAAGTATATCTACAGCCCTAGGCCACTTCACCCTCCCAAGCAGTGATGTCACCATCGGGGATCTGTGCAATATATGCAAATACCCCAGAAAGTGACAGACGCTTTGTCCAAACTGTCAAAAATAAAATCTATAATCTTGTCACATTAATATAAATTCTAAGTAATAGAATGTGTGCATAGGAAGGGGCTGCTTGTGGTCTTTGTGTGTTGTGCTTATGGTGTGGCTGTGTTTCGTGTATGTGAGGTATTTGTGAGTGAGTACGGGGGAATGACACTGGACAGGCTTATGTTGGTTCAGTTTCCCTAGTGGTGCGGTGGGCTGTCAGTACAGGTCTGCACCACTAGGTTGGTGCAGACCCCTCTAAAGGCTTCAGTCTGGTCTCTGACTAGGAACAAGCATCAGAAAGCTGTACCCAGCCAGAGAAGCAGACCTGCACTGAAAGCATAGTCTGCTTTCTATTTATCTCCCCACCAGTCTGTTCTGCTGGGGACACAGGAGAGGCGGTGCTATAACAGTAGGACTGACTGCTGTATGGGTAGCAACTGGAAACTAAATGTTTGCGATAAACAAATTTAACTTGCAATTGTTAAAATTGTGTTTACGCAATTCTAGGGTATGGGAATATACTCTGGGAATTGTGCATACACAATTTGCATAGTCAAGTAGTTGTAAAAATAAAAAAAGTTAGCTTTCAAGTAGGCCTGTCTCACATCTACCATGGCCTGATTTGAAGAATAAAGACTTCACTAAAGAACAGTATGTTGGCAGTCTTCAAATTAAACTAGAGCCTTAAAAGATTGCATTTTAGGAGGGAGAGGGAGGCCTGTTTGCATGGGCTCTGGTTATTATTATTTTTTTTAATTATTTATATAGCGCCAACAAATTCCGTAGCGCTGTACAATGGGGGTTATTGCAGCCATGTCAACAACCCAATCCCATATAATGCTTTCTGGTAGCTTTGGCTATCTTAAAGGGTAATCTAGAGGAAACCCAGAATGAACAAAATTATGAACAAAAATAAAAATTAACAGTTGCGTACATGGATTTATTTTTATGTCAATATTCTATTGAAAAGTAACAAATATATTGGGAAAATAAAAGATTTTTTTCTGAATAGTTAAATTTTGTATAAAAATATTCCCAGGTGTAAAAAAGGTTTTAAAAAATTAAACAATTATACACCCACTATACATAATCTAAACTTCACTGCCAACCCCCACACAAACACATATCTACTGTGGAACCCAAAAAAGAACCTGCATAGTCTCTGCTCTCATCTCACATGTACATAGTTTCTTTGTGCATATCAATACATTACATTCACACAGAAAGCCAATCGAACTTAACAGTAATTTTTTTGTGCTCTATCACCCATCATGCATCTTCAATCCAATGCTTCTTACAGCTTTATAGGTTTCCATGCAAATCACTCCCAATAACTTTGCTTCATTAATAGAATACTTACACTGCCCCCCACATATATGTTCCCACAACAATTATATAATTTGCTGGTTCAGTAACTGGCGCCTTCAAAAAAAAGTATTTAAATTCCCTTTGCTTTGAAGGATATCTACTGTACGTTCTGGTGTTTCCATAGTAACCCAATGCTTTAGAGAACAATCCCACAGCCCTCCTCTGACTAGGTAAGACTTCCTGTGTGAGGGGCTGCATTCCTCCATCTTTCCACCAGGCTCCTGAAAATTAACCACCCAACAACATCTACAGTATGAGTACAGTTAACCATGAATGCTCTGAATTCACCATCTTTGTTGCACAGAAAACACTTTTTAGACCACAGATGTTCAGCAGCCAGGTTTAACTGCAACTATGTAACATCTCCCATACAAACAAGCAAAGACAAAGGACATAAAAGGATGCATATGAAATGACTGCTGAGATTAATGTAGGGAATCTCTGGTTTTATAAATGTTAGCAAGGAGATACACCAGGAAAATAAATAAGGGGAGAAGACTGTTTAAAAAAAGAAATACAAATAAACCACACACAGTTTCTGGGTTTAGTTGATTAAGGGACACCTGTTAGCAGTGGTTATACCAGGTTCTTTCCATAGATCACCTAGGCAGCTAATGTGCAGAAACTCATCCTGTCTTGTATATTGAGTTGCACTGATGGTAGCTTATCACAGAAGAGGTGTGGAAATCAGGGGCAGTCCCATGGACTCCCTTTAATAGCCACATGCTAAAGATGAGAAGAGTTGCAGCTTTTATTTATTTTTATTTTCCCACATATATTCAATTAATCAAAGGAACAGCAGGATAACAAGGTGAAAATAAATTGGCAGTGTTATTTGACAAAGAAATATTTGTTTCCATTTAACCAATGCTTTTTAAGTAGGCAGATTGTAAAATGGAGCATGAAAAAACATTTTATATACATATACACACACACATATTTCAAAATCCTATTCATTTTGGATGGAGACACTCTACTGAAAACACGTCAGACACCTCTAATAAAACACTGAAATGTAAAAAGACACAAATGCTACTTAAGACTTCTCCATATGTGTAAGTTGCAATAATTAAAACAATGGGAGTAATTTGTTTGTTTTAAATATGTAATCGTTTCAGATAGTCTTCAAAAAATTGTCTTTTTTAAGTGACAAGAAATCCCATAAAATATATAAACCACTCATAATTTCAATTAAAATGTATAGAAACTTAACAACCCAGAAAAATATATTTGTTTTATTTACTGAGTGGACAAGTAATGTGTAACTACAAATCTGTAATTATTTAGAACGGGTGGCCAGTTATAGGCGAAGTGTGTCAGTTGACACTCAACACCCACGGCTTCCTTTCCTGCCCTCTTTCAACAGTGGAGTAGAGGAGGCAGAAGACAGTGAAGATTCCCACCAGGGGACCAACGTGGGTGTTAAAAAAATAAAAAAAAAATCTATCAAAAATTGTGCAACACATTAAGGTAAGGCAGCACACAGGGAATCTAACCCCCCCCAAACAACTTCAGGGAGTTTAATTTGTTTTGAAGGTGGAAAATCCATCTAAATGTGCAGTAAAATACTTCTTATTTTAATGGCAATATATTTGTTAAGTCAAAGTCTACTACATTCCTTTTTTAAAATATTAAAAAAAAAAAAATAAATACTCCCACAGCATGTGAAATAAATATTAAAACTAAAAGGAGGCTATAGAGGTTTCAGATTTTTATTGTCTGTAGATTCCAAAATTCATATTTAGGATTGCCATTTACGCTCAAGCATTTAAAGTTGATACCATTTTGAATCATGTAGGTGCACTTTACCTTGGTTGCCATGACATCTCAGAGATCTTCCTTTAAAATTATTTTGCCTCTACAATGCCATAAATTAGCCAGATATGATTTAATTTTTCCTATAGAAAGGAAGCACATGCTTTATACAACTAAAGTACTTTACTAGACTGTCCAAGTTACCCTAAGCATGTTGATCTGGACATTCAATGCAAATTTTTTGTTATTTCTTCATAATGATAGACTAAGTGCACGCATCCAGTATGCAGAAATACTTACTTTTTTTCAAAGTTGTTGACAAATCGTGAGTCCACTAATTCAGCATGTTTCACTTTGGCGACAAAAGGCTGAAAAATATATCCCGGATGGATAATGAGGAAGAACTGTTCCTAATTTTAAAAATAAATAGGTCTTCAACCATAGAGTAGTTTTGCCATTACAACTACAATAAACTGTAGTGGTTATGGTTCTTGGACTGTCCCTTTTAAGTAAAAATCTACCAACACTAACTTCTTTGTCACAGCTTTGGGGCAGACATCTAAATCTCTATTTCACTCTCTATTTCTGAGACAGTTACGTAAAAATGCTGCAAATATTAAGAAAAAAATGATCAGCCAATCAAAAAGGTCAGTAGCTTTCTATGAAATTAGGTATATGCACAAAAAAAAGTTATATTACATACTGGACTGCTTTCCAGGTGTTTCTATTTTCTTGTGTTTTCACAAATCAAAAGTAGTTTAGAATCATGTCAATTTAGAACATCTATATAATCCCTGGCCTAACACATTGCCATTAAGGGGGCTGTTGAATAGCCTTTCATGTACTGAATATGGATTGGCTCAATTTGGAAGCTAGCCACAACTGAGACTGCATCGTTAGGGCATTCTTGCAACAAGCTTGATTTTTCTTGTCACTGGTTCATTTACCAGTCAATGTGGAAAAAATTTAAGTTACTAGCACACTCCTGAAAAAATTAAAAAGTTGTGCTCACACTTAATGGGTGCAATGTAACCCTGATTCAGTCATCCGGTAAATAGTTGAAATCCAAAAAACAAAATGAATGCTCCAGGAGACCACTTAAGGAGAGAAGCACTAACATATTGAGGTTCCACAGCATTCTTTTTGGTTCATTTACCAAACTGTTAATATCAGAGGAAGCAATGTGGGGTTACTAGAGCTTCATTTCATAATGAAAATTGGAACTCAAAAAAAAAAAAAATCGCTGAGCTGCAACACAAAATATGTTTTAGTTCAGTGAATCAAAACAGAGCATATTTTTGGGCTTGTCTGGCCATAGAAAATGTATGTTTTTATATATGGTTAAAGGATCACTATGGGGTCAGAAATAAAAACGTGCATTTCCCAATCTCAGTGATATCTGGTGAACATTATCCAATCCCACCTCCATAGTCATCGGTTTGGCTTCTGCACAACAAACTGCACCAACCGATGCCTTTCTTCCAAGTCAAAAAGTACTCTAGCAAAAGCGCAAGTCTGGGGCCTATCGCACGCCGACGCTCTGTGGCCTAGAGGAGCTACTAAGTGGTGCTCACGGTGCCGGGATCGTTTTCACAACAAGGCCGCCGGAAACACCAGCAATAGGCAGAAGATCCCAAAAGCCTAGCAGCCAAGAGCAGAGATCAGGGCCAATCAGATATCTGCACCCTATTAAATGGCACTTCAACTCTCCACCCCTCCTCTCCCCCCAAGCTACCGCTACCCCCTTAATTAGGGGTACATAAGATAGATAAATGATACCAGATTACAGCCAGAACCCATCGCAGGTCTTTTAAACAACTGCATTCAAAGCTCGGTCTACACGCAATCTATATGATAGTATTATCCACCCATAGATCTTGTCTCATCGCACAAACTCTCCTAACAGACATGTTGTTGCACTGAGGGGCTCCTACCTACCTACCTGCCTCCCAGTGGTTGTCAGTTACACATTTGTTTAAGTTTACTTTAGTCACCAACAACTGTCACGCGACACTGATGGTCACATATCTGTCCTAAATGGATGGCCATGCACCACCTTAGACTCAGTTACTCTAAGTCTATTGAATCTTACTATGAAAGTACTGGCTTTCAAAAGCAGATGCGCAGGCCGCTACGAGGGCCCTACCGTACTAGTCACACTGCTATAAGCGACATTCTTTCTTACATGAATTGATGTTTTCTCTCGTATCAACCTTTAAAAACGTGCCGTCTACTGTTTACTTGTACTAACCCATGATGTTTATCCATATACTACCAAGCATGATACTTTACCTTGTTTTACTATTCTAAAAACTGCATTGTTAACCCATGACATTTTATGCCACACCTATGACGTTTACCATCTTATATATTCTGGCAAAAATGTCTCTACAGGCATGTATGTCTTGTCATGCATGCAAAAATAAAGAATATAAAAAACCCATGAATATTTAGATCCTCTGCCCCCCCATAAATAGGCAGTTTACTTACCTTTATTCCCTTGCCACGAGTCTCCTGGCTCTCTCCTTGGCCGGCAATCAAACTTGATTAAATACTTTCCGATAGGGCGAAAGTCATACAGCTACACTGTTCTTTTAAAGAGACACTATAGTCACCAGAACAACTACAGTTTAATGTAGTTGTTCTGGTGAGTATAATCATTATATGCAGGCATTTTAATGCAAACACTGTTTACATTGCCCCTAGAGACACCTCCAAGTGGCCACTCTACAGATGGCCACTGGAGGTACTTCCTTGCTCAGTGTTGCACAGTAGGCAGCAGTGCAGTTCAGCGTCTCCATGCTCTGCATGGTGACGCTGAATTTTCCTCAGAGATGCATTGATTCAAAGCATCTCTATGAGGAGGTGCTGATTGGCCAAGCCGGCGTTTGGGCCCGCATCCATCCTGCCTCCTTGCCAATCCAATGCTTTCCCCATGCCAAACCATTGGATTGGCTAAAAATCGAATTCTGATTATGTCACCGAGGGGGGCGGAGCTAGTGCCAGCAGACCCGCACGTCGTTGGAATGAAGGTGAGTTTTAATTGAACACATTTGTGTTCCTGACCCTATAGTGTTCCTTTAAGTGTACAACATAAAAGCATGCAATGATTAGGTGCCACTTGTAACCTGAGCTAATAAAATCAAGCTCAGGTTACAAATGGCACCTAATCGTGTAAACTGACAACCAACATATAGAAAAATACTGACTGGTCTAATATATTTCAATTCAGTTTACTCATGGAAAAGGAAGAGTCAATATTTGTCTGAAACCACATGAATCCATGAATTATTCTGCCTAGTCTCAACAGTGAAGCTTGTAGAATGCAGTGAGAAAAAGGTTTTCTTGACAAACAGACACTTTAAGACCAGCTGTTGCAGACCATGTGCATCTCTTTGTGGCCACAGTCCACCTATAATCAAATACTTCATGCAGAATGTTGTGCCATGTCAAAAAGCACCATCTAAAGCTGGCTCTACAATCAGAACAGGAATCCCCTCCAAATCCAATAGAAAACCATTGAAATGTGAAACCGGAAGTTCATAGCATTACTGTGTAGCCAAAAACCTGCAGGAATTTTCTGCTGTCATGTCATTGAGGACCAAAATATTACTAGCTCCTTTTTGAAGATATCCTCTGAAGAATTTAAGCTGTTTAGGAGTCAATGACATCCCAACTAGATAGAGGTCTAATAAATCTTAAAACATGCATGTGCGAGTGAAGCTTCAAAATGTTTAATTTCTATAACAATATAGAAATAATATATATCTATAACACAGGATGTTCATGTCTGCACTGTAAACTCGTTTGAGCAGGGTCCTCTTCATCCTATTGTTCCTGTAAGTTTTTGTAATGGTCTCATTTATTGTTAAATCTCACTCTCCTATAATTTTGTGAAGCGCTACAGAATTTGTTTGCACTATATAAATGCCAATAAATAATATGTGCCCTCTCAGGCAAGTAAACTTGTACAGTCGTGTACCTTT